AGTTATTCCATACATTAGAGAGAGAGAAGTAGGCATAGCAGAAGCCTAGGCTATTCTGGAACTTTAAGCTTGTAATACTCCTGCCTCTGCCTTCGGAATGCTGGAATTACAGGTTTGCACTATTTTAAAATAATTGTAAATTCAGAAAAGTTATAGAAACAGTATAGAGAGTTCTTTTTCATGCAAATCTTCTTTGCACACTTGTATACATGTGTGGGGGCTGTAGTGTGCACTCTACCACTGAACTATATTCTTTATATCCCCTTGTATTAACATCACATAATCATAGTAGAAATATCAAAATGAAGAAATTGTCATTGCTGCAGTTCTATAAAATAAGCAGGTTTGTTTTGTATTGCACTAGTTTTTTTCTAATCATATACTTTTTCTATTCCTGGATCCAATCCATGAAGCACATTGCAGTTAGCGATTAGTGACATTTATGTTTGTGCTATAATTAATATTCACCATCCATATTGTATTCAGCTAAATACAATAATAATATTCTGAAATATACTTCTATAATTTCTCTAGTAAAGAAACAGCATTTCTTTTCCCTGTGAGCCTTACATTATAAAATAAATAATTCACACTAGCTATAAAAATAAGGTACTGGGCTGAGGATATAGCTTAGTGATAGAGTGTGTATATAGTATGTGTGGAGCCATAGTTTGATTCTCCAGTAACCTCCCCCAAAGTTACATTGTACCACAGTTTCCTTCTGGCAATAAAAGCTACCTTTGTGTTATGATAGCAGCTACATTAAGAGTATGAGGCTCTGTACTACTTTAATGTGCTCTTCACAACAATCCCTTAAAAAAGTTCTATTTTATAGTTGGGGAAAGTGGGGCTTGTCAAAGGTTGTTGTGTACAAGGTTTTACAACTAGTATGAAACTGACATTTGGACCAAGACATCTTGACTTACTCAATCTCATAATCACTGTCAGTGTTTGTCAACTTATAGTGCAGTGCAGCATGTAGTAAGTAATCAATTGACAATGGCTGTTATTCTTACCTTATAGGTTCACTTAGTGGTACTTAGTACTCTTAATCTATAATCTTTTGATACTGGTTATGACTAGTGTTTTAAACCACATTGTTGACTGTTTTCCAAGTATTTCCAACTAGTATTGTTCGTTTGTTTTAATGAAATGACTATTCTGTGAGTGATGGTACATGCATGCAATAACAGCATTCAAGAGGCTGAGATGGGAGGATTGCCATGAGTTTGAGGACAGTCCTGTGCTACATAATGAGTTCTAGGCCAGCCTGAGCTACAAAGTGAAATGCTGTCTCAAAAAAAAAAAAAAAAAAAAAAGTAGTTCTAAGTGGTATCTGATCTATTATCAAATGAATTCTCTGCATGAAAATCTTAATAAGAGATCAGAGAATACAGGAGTCACTTTAGGATGGAGAAGTTTTAATAAGGAAACAGAGCTCGAATGAAACTTTGAAATAGGTAGGATTCAGATTGATTGAGAGGTAAGAAAAGGGCAAGCTTTGTGTATGTTGGATTTAATCAGAGTCCTGCTTCCAGTAGTTCATCAAACTCATGGGCGTTCTTTGTCTTTCATGTAGGGACATTGACGTTCAATAAGGTTAAATATATGCCAAGGTCACTAAGCTAATAAATGATAGATCCTAGATTTAGATCGAAGTTTGGGTGACTCCAAAGCCTGTGTTTACCCTTATATGCCCTACTGTTTGATTAGCAATGAAATCCAAATTTTAATGTTAATTGAAACACAAATGCTTCCTCATGTGTTCATTGTGCTAACTCAAACTGATTATTTTTTTTGTAAGGATACTTACTATACTGAGACTGGCCTAACACTCTCAATTCTGTTGTGGTATGTTTAATGTAGGAGGTAGGGAATAGGGGCTGATCGGTGAAAAAAAAGACAGAATGAGGAACATGTAAAGCCAGATTCGGTGTTGTGTGTTCATAATCCCAACTCATAGGAGGCTGAGGCAGGAGGATTGTGAATTCAGTCCAACTTGGACTACATAACCAGTTCCAGGTCATCCAAACCCATATAGCATAACCTGCCATGAAAAACTGAAGAGGGGGAAAAACTGTTTCTTGGTGCTGCTGTGTTGACGCCTAATTAGAAATCAATTTTGCAAGCATAATGACCTGGCCAGTTGCTGAACTGACTGCCCAAGTGACACAGGAGTCCCTAGATAATAAGGAAAGATAAGAGTATTATCTGCCTGCCTAGTGCCACACAGTCACACTGTTTACATTAACACACAAATGCCGGAGTAGATTCTTCAGGACTTGTATATAAGCTGGCCTAGGTAGCTAAGGTTAATATAGCATAAAATTTTCTGTAAAAGCCAATCTTCCTAACTACAAATACGCTTACAAGAAAGTAGACAGAGAATCGCTTTTCTTTTCTGAAAAACAAATGAGTGGTTTAGGTAAAGCAGCACTTGAGAATGTAGAAAAAATATTTCTCACCATAAATGCATTATATTAAAGCCTTCTTGTTTTGCTTTGTTTTTTAAAAATCTAAGATTATCCTGATATTTGGGGTTTCTCTGTGCCACATTCAGATGGTAGGCTTCTTTTCCCTTATATGTCTTTAATGAGTGGATAGAGTAATACCTTGTCTCAGAAAGTGATTGGAATTTTTCTCCTGTATTACATCCATTTTGTATTTGGCCAATGGTATGATATATTAAATAGCTTATATTTATCAGTGGGTGTTTCATATATATTTCTTAATGCAGAGAATCACAAATAGCTGTGTAGAAAGCTTCACCCAGCCTGATTACAGTGGATGTGCAATTGGATTGAGGAATGTGTACTCAGAGCTTATGATCACTGGCCGGGTTGAGTCTGGGTGATGCATGTGGCTTTCCAGGGATGCTGCTATTTACATCTGTTAATGGCCCTTCTTGATGGCCAGTTCCCCAATGAGGTGATATGCAGCAGCCTGGGGATGAGGGACCATGGCTGCAGATGTGGCTGGGCTCCATTAGGCAGGGCCAGAAATGCTCATCTGGTAGGCTTTGTGTTTGGGTATGAGTGGTGGGGGTAGGGAGAGAAGCAGGAGACAGGAAAAAAAGAGGGGAAAAGAATGGAAAGCATTATTTATCCAGGTATATGGGAAACAGACAGGCAGACATGAAAAACTGCAGCTGTAACTGAGGTGTAAGTGAATAGGAAAGAAATGGGACTAGCAAATAAACAAGTAGGATTGAGTAGCTCTCATATAGGAGGGGATTAAAAAGGAGAGAACTGTGAGAGTTTGAGAAGAGACATGTCACCTCTGTCTTTCAAGTCCGTATCATTTGTTTGTGTGGCTGGTCAGATGCCACTGAACAGAGAGCAGAGATTTACATACATCACAGTGCATCAGGAGATTAGCTCTGTGCCTCCGTTGGTTTTCTGGAGCTGAAGAAAGCAGCAAGAGTTGCTCTCAAAGATACAGTGCTGAGTGATAGTAAATCCTTGCAGAAATGGAAAATACCTGGACTGAGCCAGTGAAGAATCTTTCTGTCTTTCATAGAGGACGATAAAAAGGCCTCAGATCACAAAAGTTGGACAGTCTGTGAGAGCTGATGCTCTTTCTATCCCTTATGTGCTAAAGGTTTTTTGAAACAAATCTCACTAAAGCTGAAAATAGTATCTTAGTGTGCAGTTTGGTAGAATAGGCATTCTGGACTTATCTCCACAGCCATAGCATTCTTCAACATGTAATCTTGAGTGCATTTAGATATGGAGTTTTTCCGTTTTCTTTAAGTAAATCCATTGAAGAACTGAGACAACTTTGGAATACGCTGTAATAATGTGAAGCAGTGTCCTAGAATATTTTTCTGTTTTCCAAGAAGGAACTTGGTTCTTTCACAATGCATATCTTCTAAATCTAAATGTATCTAAATCTAGTATCTTACCTTCAAGGAACCTGAAAAATAAATGCATGTAAGAAGCTGTATTTGTCTGTTTCTGTCTTTATAGATTGGCATGGTAGCTTGGAAAATGAGCCTTAAAAGCCCTGAATATCCAGATGGCCGAGATATCATTGTCATTGGCAATGACATTACATATCGCATTGGGTCCTTTGGGCCTCAAGAGGATTTGCTGTTTCTCAGAGCTTCTGAACTTGCCAGGGCAGAAGGCATCCCACGCATCTATGTGGCAGCCAACAGTGGAGCTAGAATTGGACTGGCAGAAGAAATCCGTCATATGTTCCACGTGGCCTGGGTAGATCCAGAAGATCCCTACAAGGTACAGTTACAAATTCAACATTGAATTCTCAGTCCTTATCTTAGTAGTTATTTGATGATTCAGCAGCATTTGACACCATTCATCCCTGCTCTATCTTTTAATATACTTCTTCTCTTCATGGCTCCTTTTTCTCAGTTTCTTTTCCAACCTTTCATGTTCTTATATTTAAGACTATTTCAAGGTGTAATAAAAATGTTCTTTATTTTGATTGTGGTGGTGCTTACACAAGTATACATATTTATCAGAATCCATCAGATTATAAGGATTATAGCCAGATATGCTTGCTGAACTCTGTGATTCTAAGTCATCTGGATGCTAAGGCCAGCCTGGGAGGCATAGCCAGACATTGCCTCAAAAATAAAAGTTTATAACAAGTTCAATGGATTTTTAGTGAATGTAAACTATAGTTCATTAAACTTCATCTATAAAATATATGGAAATCACTAGCAAGTTTGTGATTCTTTTGGGTATTGGAAGTACTTAGAATTAGTCCTGATGGTTGTGCCACATCTCTGCACAAAAAATTAATGCATATAGCATGTTAAACATGTATAACATGGTACTCAGCCTTAACCTTAAAAAGTTTGTACCTGTGGGCATGCAAATAAACCATTAAGTATTAATACAGTTTTGAATATAAATAGTACTTATTTATTGAAGAGTGCAAAAGTATAAATTCTGCACTCAAACTGTTTGTACTGCTTAGGCCTCTGGTTTCAATATTCACAAATTTGTGATCCTTTCAGTCATACTTTACCCCTCTTTATTTTGATGATGATATGGATTTGAGTAAAGAGCAGTAATTCACACAATTCCTGAATCCCATGTTGATATCTTTAATGGAAGTGTCACTAAAGACCCAGAAATGACCCTTTAACCTTATTGAAAAATGACATGAATGGAACATACATGAAATTATAACTATAGGGTATCTTGTTTCAAGGATAGACAGTCAGTGACTAGAATATAAGAACTTCATTTTTCAAACTGCCTATGCTAGTGTTCTGTTAGTGTTCTGTAACTCTAATGATTTATCATTTTAAAACCAGCTTTGGAACAAGCTTCATTATATTTTTTACTCTGTGTTGATTATGTGAAAATGGCAGAAAATGATTAAAAACTATTTGTGCTTCACAGGGATACAAGTATTTATATCTGACACCCCAGGATTATAAAAGAGTCAGTGCTCTCAATTCTGTCCACTGTGAACATGTGGAGGATGAAGGAGAATCCAGGTGGGTATTTATATTTCAGATGAATTTGGCCGTGAGTCTCAAAGGAAAGAGGATATTTCCTTACTTTTGTGCTCCTATAACCTTGAAGAGCTCTGTTGCATAATCTAGACATCTTGTGCCTTAGCTTTACTACTTATTAGTAGAAGTACCCTGCTATTGATGGAGGCTTTTAGGTAATGTTTATACTATTTGCCCATTTGAGAAACAATGAAATGTGTAAATAATTCTGAAGAAAAAGTAAAACCCCAGACACAGGCCTACCCTGAAGCCACAATTATGAATCTATGCTATTCTTACTGTCTTTTCTATATTTGTTATCTTTTCTTTCTATGTAATTGGGATTATAGTAGATAAGAATTTCTTTTAAATTTATCCTTTGAACGAAAATTTATTTTAGGGAAATTTCTTATATTCTGATTAGAATTACATTACAAATAAAGCTAATCTTTCTTCAGAAGTAAACATGAAGTTTAATAGTTGTATAATATTTCATCATAATGAAAAATTATCTTTGAACATGCAGGCCATTTCCAGCTTTTCACTGTACATCTCTGAGCCGAATATTCCTTTACAGACACTTTTAGAACTGTTCCTAATTAGGTTCTCAAGCTTTCTTTGTTCTTGGCACCCTTAATATGCCAAAGTTTTTCCCACTATATCCATAACCTGAAACATACACTGATGTTTCTGTTTAAGTAGTTAAATGCAACATCTTCAAGTTTTTGTGTCCTAACAGCTTGATCACTTGAGTAAAGCAATGCAGCAGGTGAAAGGCAGGAACTGTTTCATTCTTGAGGGCTTTTTAGAGGGAGGGTTGGGAGATGTTGAAACACAGGGCATGTACAACCCTTTGGGTTAATTTCTAGATGTTAACAGGTCAAAAGTCCATAATATTTAAAGGTTTTTAAATTGTTTCAAATTGCCCTCCCAAGATCTGCACTCCCAGTCAGTGAGTATGTGGTAGCACACCCTTCCTCTGTTTTATCTCTGTCATCATTGTGTTTAGTTGTTAATAAAATAATAATTACTCCATTACAATAATGAGTTATTTTAAAGACAGCAACTTTTATCTTGCAGTTTTGATTATCAGTGAGGCTGAACGTTTTGATACTCTCTCTGAAAGCATATTCTACAATGTTAATTGCTATACTATTTATTGACTAATTCTTACATTCTTGGGCCATTGCCACATTGCTTTAATTAACTATTGCTATGGAACAGATTTCACACTTTTTTTTCCCAAGTTGCAATTAGCTGATGTGTTTTGTTTTTTTGTTTTGTGTTTTTTTTTTTAAAGATTTATTTATTTATTATGTATACACTGGTCTGCCTCTATGTCTGGAGAGAGCACCAAATCTCATTACAGATGGTTGTGAGCCACCATGTGGTTGCTGGGAATTGAACTCAGGACCTCTGGAAGAACAGCCAGTGCTCTTAACCTCTGAGCCATCTCTCCAGCCCCTTGTGTTTTTTTGTTTTGTTTTGTTTGTTTTGTTTTGTTTTGTTGTGTTTTTCTTTTTTTGTTTTCTTGTGGTGCTGGAGAACAAACCCATGGCCTCGTACATGTTTTGATCACCAAAAAACTTTAATTTGACTTTAATTTGGATTGTATTGGTTTTATATATAATTTGTAGGGATCTGACAGCTTTCTGTTTAATTTCCCTAAAAAGAAACATGGCATGTTTTTCTATTTATTGGTGTATTTTTTTAATGTTTTATACTTTTCTTCATACAGGTTACACCATAGGCTTCCAGACTTCCTTAGTTCATAGCATATTTTGGGGGGTTTTGTTTGTTTTTTGGTTTTGTTTTTCTGAATAGCCTTGGCTATCCTGGAACTTGCTCTGTAGATGAGGCTGGCCTCCACCTCATCCACCTGTCTCTGCCTCCAGAGTACTGGGCTTAAAGGCATGTGTCACCACTGCCTGACTCATGGCACCTTTAGGATATTAAAATTTTTTCATGGCACCTATAAACTAAACAGAGACCTAATTTTTTTTAAATTAAGTAGTTAAATGCAAACAGCATCCTAAAAGTTTCTGTGCTGTGAGGTTAATGATCACTTGAATAAAGTAATGCATGTGAATTAGAAAAAAAATCTCAGTTTTGGTTTTCTGGGTAAGAGCTTGGGGAGTGTTGAAACAGGGTTTCATATACCTCAGGCTAGCCTTGAACCTACTATGTAGCTAAGGATGGTCTTAAAATGTTCCTTATACCTCTACCTCCAATGTTTGAGACTATTTCCTAGCTAATACCTGAATCATTACAGAAACTTACTAATAGTGTGATAATTACTGTTTAGACCTTGAAGTCACCTTGCATATAGTCATCATCATTTATTGTTCTTCCTTGGTTTTTGTGCAAAGCTTGCATTTGTTCCACAGAAACTGCAAAAACCTGGCTTTGTAAAGATAGTACTGCATTTCTTTTGACAATATTCTATCTTATGTTAATCTGTGAGCTTCCTAAAACTAATCATTCACACAGGGTCTAACAGATATCACATATCATAGTGGTTTTCTAAAAATATACTGCGGTATCCCTAGGGGCTCACTGTGGTGCCTTGGGATGTCTTGGGCATAGTGGAAGTTTGCCAGCTTTTTCATGTCTCTTTCTAAAGGAAGATAAGCTTTATTTGTAACAAAACTCTAGAATTTGAGGTCTAGAATATATAGAAGAAAAAGAATTGGGAATAACTTGGTATTGGGAGAGGCTAAAAATAGAAAGCTAGAGCAATCTGAGAAGCAGAGATACAGTCACAGACCACAGCTAAGACAAAGAAATGGAGTCAGTGGAGGGATGGACAGAAAGGAGCAGAAAAATACGGGAGCCATTATGGAGTTGTTATTTTATTATTTCAGCTTATGAAAGTTAAAATAAAACACAATTCCTGCCTTGTGCCAGGAACAGTATATCATATATGCCCATCTCTGCTTCTAGCCTTGTACTTTCCTTGTGTGTGTGCATGTGTATTTGTACATGTCTATGTATGGTGCTGTGGCTCCTTCCTTTTATTAGTTCTATTCCCCATCTCCCACTTACCATTGTCAACTATCCGCCCCCTAATCCCCTGCTGGGAAGACAGATGAGCAACTCCCACTAGACCCACTGGATGCTTTCTGGGCAACTTAGTCAGCATTTCACTTGTGCATACATCATACCAGTCCCTTCAAAGACCCATAGCCAGGACCCCTTACCAATAAACTTGTTAGTTGTAAGGGGGAATACGTTGTTTTGACCTTCCTCTTTATTCTAATCTTTGACAAGGAAAGGGATAGAATTCCCACTTCCTCTCTATTTGTACTTTTCATTCCTATATAAAATTGTCTAAAATTATTTATTGGTTATGGCATATGTTAGTCCTGCTTTTTCTTAAATGTGTCCAAGGATGTAAGAAAGGGCTTTTAAAATCTGAGTTATGTCATGTCATCTTGTTACATTAACTGTCATGTCTCCCATATCGTAGAAGTTGATACTGTCTGTGATCCCCATTTTACAGAAATTGTTATCCTCAGAACCATACCACCGTTTGTATCAATGAACTTTAACTAGCTGCTAAATTCCAAGTCTTGTTGTTTCTGTTACAGAATATTACTCCCAAGTAAGTAGCTTCCAAGCGAAGATGGAGATGCTTAGACAGGAAGAACATAGAAAGAAAGTGTTTGTATTAAATGTTCTTATAATGATTGCTGTTCTGTTTATGAGTTACTTTTACTGTGTTTAACCTTTCTGATTTGGCATGGTTGCATCCAATAGGTACAAGATTACAGATATTATTGGGAAAGAAGAAGGACTTGGAGCAGAGAACCTTCGGGGTTCTGGAATGATTGCTGGAGAATCTTCATTGGCTTATGATGAGATCATCACCATCAGCCTGGTAAATATCCCTAGAATGATGCTTCCTTTCAGTGCTGGGGATTGAACCTACGGCCTCATATAAGCTAGGCAAGTCCTTTCTACCAATGATCTACATTCCCCATTCCCAACAAGGTATGAAATTTATTGAAAAGCAGGGTATGTGGCTGGGTTTATTTCTGCCCTTCCTTACTGCTAAATGACATTATTTTCTGAAAATGATACATCTACAAATTTATTGTTATCAGACCGGGTGGTGGTAGCACACACCTTTAATCCCAGTGCTCAGGAGACAGAAGCATAATTCACAAGCACAATTTGTTCTTTTTTAAGGTTACATGCCGGGCCATTGGTATTGGGGCTTACCTTGTCCGGCTGGGACAAAGAACCATCCAGGTTGAGAATTCTCACTTAATTCTGACAGGAGCTGGTGCCCTCAACAAAGTAAGTTGCCAGGGTTTGGGACAAGTATATGAGATTGTTTAATGATTGAAGAGTGTGACTTTTTAATTCGAGGTCCAGACTAGAGGGCAGCCTTCAGCCCATACCTTCCTCAGTGTGTCTCCTCCTCTAGTGTTTACCAGTTGACTTGCTTATCCATTCATTCATTCATTCATTCATTCATTCATTTCTTTCAATTAAGTATTTTGAGTACCTACTTGTGTACCAGGCATGATTACAAGTTGTGTGTGTATTATATATGTGGATAATATATATACATATATATACATTATATATACATACATTATATACATTCATTATACATACACATATTAACCTGTGTGTTATATGTGTGTAATATGTAATGTGTATAATATATGTATATTAGGGAACAAACTATATAACCTCTGCTCCAAAGAGGTCATATTCTAGTCTCTCTAGAAAGACTAAGAATTGAGAGCTTCTGTTTTGTCCCAGCCTTTGATATGTGGAGAGATCTGCTCTCATGGGGGAAGCTGTTATGTTCTAAGTGTACTGGCTTCTGTCTTTTTCCTCTACATTATGGATTTAATATTGGTCAAAGTGTTGAGGATGTGCAATTTTAATGTTTTGAGAAATTTCTAAATAAATGCCTTTTAAAAAGAACACTTGTATAGTAGAAGTGCTCGATAAATAATGAGTGGTAAAATGATTAGGAGAACATAGATGGATTTCTGGGGAAAGGAATGACACAGACATGTATCTTCTCTTTCAGAGCATGGTAATACATCTAAGCTCACAGGGCCCTCCTAAAAGTGAAAAAAAAAAAAAAAAAAAAAAAAAAAGGTGGTCAGGTTACTGCTTACAAGAGTAAAACTAACCAAGGAAGTTCAGCCCTCTCCTCCCTCCCTCTGTCTCTCACAAACACTTTAGGCATCTGAACTTTATGTTCTGTCCAGAGCAAGAAATATATGTATGGAATTTGTATGGCATAGTTTGAGATTACTTGGCTTCCATTGTACAAGTATATAACTTTCAGCTCTACAGCTTTCTTATCTGCCGGGGGTGGGGGTGGGGTGGGTGTTAAATTTACACTTTAATTTTATGAATCGAAAGAAAGAAATACAGGTACTTGGCACAAAGTGTAGGTTTTCATTGATCTCCCTTATGTGACTTGGTGACTGTTCTTATAGAATTATACACATGCCAAGTTGTACTGGAAATTGTGTTGATGACAGTTGGTTTTGCAGTGTGGATTAAATACTGGTCAGGGTGTTGAGGATGTGCAATTTTGCTGTTTTGAGAAATCTCTAAATATACCTCTGAAAAAGAACACTTGTGTAGTAGAAGTGCTTTTTAATTTCTTTTTAAGGCTTAGTTTTTAAATGAAAGAATACGGACTAGCTGGCCAATCCTATCATTCCCACTTAAAGAAAGTTGGTAATTTCATTGTCTAATTAGCTTGAGGGGATGTCAGAAATCACAGGAATTGTTTGATGTGGGAGCTTGTTCTCTGCCTTCTTATGAACTGTGTCCTTTGGATTTGCTTTTCTTTCTAAGGAAAGGCAATGCAGTACCAGCCTGTAAATGAAAGTAGAAAAGTGCCACTACTAAAGATTATTGCACTGAGAAAAATTGCCGAGAGTCCTAATTTTTTTAAGTTGCTCTTCGGATATTATCTAAGGATGAGATTCTGATGAACATTGAAAAGAGTTTTAGATACCATTTTCTATGAAGTTAGGATTTTAAAATGTTACATAGCTGTGTATTTCTGTGATGTTTTCATATGTGGACAGAGTGTGTTTCGGAAGTATATATGGTTACATTTGGGCACCCCCTCTCACCCAGTATGTTACACACAGAGATTGAACAACAAAGATTTTCTGTTTTGAGGGAGATGTGTGCATCTTTTAGTTAATTTCATTTGTGCCAAGAAGAAAACACTAGAGGTTTCTTTCTTAAAATCTGTTCTAGTCAAATTCAGTATTCACTTCTTCCCTAGCCTACAGGCCTGCTTGTTAGAGCAGAGCCTGGGTATTGAGGGGTCTCTCTGCTGTAGCTTGACAATGCTGGTTCCCAGAAGAGCGTGATCATTTAGCTGAAGGGAGTGCTCTTTGTAGAGGTTACCTAATCCTACTCCATCTGCTTTACTGTCTCATGTCTGCACCTCTTCAGTACAAAGTCTTGTTGCTGGAAAACACCCAATTTCATGCACATTCATTAAGAATGTCCTATTGGCTCCTTGCTTATCAGGAATGAAAAGGGACGCTATCAGAGAGCTCCCTCGCTCAGATTGCTGTCTCTGACTCACTCCTGAATAGTCTTCTAACATCCTTACTCTTTCTAGTCTCTCACTATTCTCTCTGCACATTTCTTTCTATCTCACTCCAAGGCTGTGCTAGTCACTCTTAGTGCACATCTTTCATGTGAGTTGGCCTCTCTTTGTTTCTGTGTGTTGCTCTCTCTCCTTTATTGAATGCACTTCTCCCCAAGTGTTCATGTATGTGAAAGTCTTTGTGTGTTTAAAGTACGGCATGGCTTCATTTTAAGCCTTGACCATTTGCTCACTATTGTGTACCTATGTATAGAGTGGAAATGTAGGCGGTATATGCAGGCTTATATACAGTATTAAACTGTAAACATCTGATAGTCACCTTTTGGAGTCTTTATCCTTTATGTTAAACATTGGGGTAAAGAATAAGAAAGGGGTGTACAGAGGTTATAGGGGAAAAAAGATTTTGTGTGTGCAAGTGCTGATCCCGTTGACCCCTTTGAAAATTGAAATAATGATAATGCGAGTCTCCTGACTGCATCAAAGTATCAGCACATCAAAAGCCAGGAGGCATGAAATGCAAATGATAAAGTGAAAGCAGATGGATTGTGCATGATCGCCTGATGCCCAATGAATTTTAAAAGGTGCTGGTTTGCAAAGGGTGGGCGTAGGGTGGGGGTAGGGGGACTGAAATAAACACGTTATCCCTGCAATTTTTTTTGTTCTTGACGCTCACTCCTGACAATATTTTTTCACACTTGAGTGAACACCCACTCCATCTCTCTCACCCTTTTTGCCTTTCTCTCTCTCTCTCTCTCTCTCTCTCTCTCTCTCTCTCTCCCCCCCCATTCCACCTCTTACACGTCTCAGGTCATGTCGCTGCAGCTCCGGTGGAAATAATAAGATATAAACCACGAGGTTGTTATTTGCATAGAAATAGCATGGAGCCCCAGGCAGCAAGAGAGAAGGACACAGGGATCATTTGTCTAAAATTTTAATGAAAAACTTTTGCTGAGACAGAGATTTTTTAAAAACTTTCTTTCTCCTGGATTTTTTCCCCAGCCCTTCCCACCCCTCCAGCCCTATCTCTGATTTAACTTAACATGGGAGATTGGGAGAGGAAGGGTCAACATGCCACATATCCTGCTCATGTAATACAGCAACATGTAAACTGTTTGTTCCTTTAAAAGATAAGATGCTTCGGCACACACAATTTCCAACTTATTACATTGCATGTGTGCATCCAGCTTTTATGGCTGCATTGCATCTCTGCACACACGGTGTTGGTGACCTGCTTTTAGTGTTCACCTTCCTACCTTTCACTTCCAAAGAATCTTACTTAACGAGATTTCTTCTTCTTCCCTCTCTTCCTTCTATAGTAACCTACATAATAATTACAAGTATTTTATTCTTCCATTTTTGTCAAGTTTTCTGTACATTTTATTCTTCAGTACTGTTCTCTGCCACTGTATATTTTGTTTCCAAACCAGAAGACTTTTTCCACATTTGTATTTTTATCCTTTTTACCTTGTGATCAGAGTATTTATGTTCCTTCCACACCTGCCATGTTTTGTTACCTGCAGTTAATTATAAAGTATTCAGAATATTGCCAACTTGAGGAGAGAGATGGCTTCTGGATTTGACTGTTGTGGTACAGATTTGACACTTAAACCAAAGGCAGTGAGCTGGTGATTGGAGGTTAGCCCAGATAACATTTGAAATTCAAAATCAAGAGCTTCTTTCCAGTTCCTTGTTGTTTAGGTGTTAGACTAGTGGTGTCAGGGCCCAAACAATACTGAAACGGGTGAAGATTGGATCAGTTAGAGCATGAACTTTAGCTTCACTACAAAGGGCTCAGGCCTCTGCTTAGTGTCCACAAGAGAGTGTTGAGAGTAGTGACATAAACAGAAGTTCATGAAGATTTGCTTCTCCTCCATGTTTCTCAAGGTTACAGTAGGTGGAACTTTAGGAACTATAGGCTGCAGGTGTCTAAGTCCTCAGGATGATGGGGCCGACCTGATGGGTGTGACTGCCTGGTGTGAAGGGACTCATGCTGGTGTGACAAAAGCAGCAGTTGTGTACTTGAAGTGTTGGCAGCATAAGCTCTTCGGGAGCTGACATGATTTGCAGTTATAAATTCCTAAGTTAGGGTGCCTTTTGGACATTTTCAGTGACATAAATATTTCCTTTTCCTGAGCACCTCTCAGTTTCTATTTCACATGTCTAACATAGTGTCCAGTGGCAGCCAGGCCAGAGGAGCCTCTGTTGTAAGGGAACACTGATACAGGCCAGAGCCTGCTATCTCTCAGCCTCAGACTTGATGAAAGCCCGATCGTTGGACAGCAGTCGGAATTTGTGGTTTATGGGTATGCTCAGGACAGCAGTTGTCTGTGGAGGTAAGGACTCTCCTAATGGCTGTGATGTGTGGGGATTGATTACTCCGAAGGTAATATGTGACTTCCTTGGGGTGAACATTTTTTTAAAGCTTCTACTTCTCTTTTAGAGGAAAAGAAATCCCATAATCTTTCCCTTTTAAAGTTAGGCCTCTCTTTCCACTGAATCTATCAAGAAAAAAAGTAATTGTATAGTACACGTGGCTGAGAGCTCTAAGTCCTCTAGGGGCTAATTCTGCTAATCTTTCTATTCTTTAAGATTTGTTTTTTATTTTTTAATTATGTGTATGTGTATGGTAGGAGTGTGCATGTAAGTGCAGGTGCTTTTGGAGACCAGCAGCATCAGATTCCCCTGTAGC